GGAGGTTCTAGTAACGTTTTTAATGTGGGGGATAAAAGACATGTCCTTATCAAAAATAACACCAAGATTTTTAACATTAGAGCTGGAGGACAGATTAATGCATCTAAGGAGGGAGAAAGACTGAAACATTCATTCCTAAGGTGCTCAGGTCCAAAAACCAAAACCTCAGTCTTGTCTGTTCAACAGGAGAAAATTAAGGGTCATCCAGGATTTTGTCTTTAAGACATGCTTGTAGTCTAAGTAGCTGATTGGATTCATTGGGTTTCATGGACAAATATAACTGTGTATCATCAGCATAACAATGAACATTTATCCCATGATGTTTAATAACTTTACCTAATGGAAGCATATATAAAGTAAAGAGTATTGGCCCAAGCACTGAGCCCTGAGGAACTCCATGACTAACTTTGGTGTATGAAGAAGATTTATTATTTACATTTACAAACTGGAATCTATCAGATAAATATGATTTAAACCATTTTAGAGCTGTTCCTGTAATCCCAGCATCATATTCAAGCCTCTGTAGTAAAATATTGTGATCAACTGTATCAAATGCAGCACTGAGGTCTAACAGGACCAGTAGAGACACAAGTCCATTGTCTGAGGCCATGAGAATATCATTAGTGACTTTTACTAGTGCTGGTTCTGTGCTATGATGAGCTCTAAACCCTGACTGAAACTCTTCAGATTATTTCTTTGTAGATGTTCACGCAACTGACCTGCAACTATTTTCTCTAGAATTTTTGAGATGAAAGTTAGATTAGATATAGATCTATAGTTGGCCAGGATTCCTGAGTGAAGGTTATATTTCTGAAATAAAGGTTTAATTACAGCAACCTTAACGGTCTGTGGTACGTAACCGTTTATTAGAGACAAATTAATCAGATCCAAGACGTGATAATTAATTAAGGGAAATGTGTCTTTAAACAATCTGGATGGGATGGACATGTGGATGGTTTGGATGAAGCGATTATTTCTGACAATTCAGTATATTCGTTATCATTTGTCATCATTAATCAACAATATTCATCATTAGTGATCACCAATCATCATTAGTCGTCGTTAATTATCATTACTCACCATCAGTCATCATTAGTCAAATACCTGCTGCTGGAGCGGAGCGCTCAGACTGTCTCCATGCAAAAACGTTCTCATTAAACAAACGAGACGTAAAATCAGGAGGAGAGTTTGAAACATCTGGAAACAACAGAAGAAGAGTCAACAGTTTGTTCTGCTAAGCTTCATTGAAGCTGTTTCCATCCTGAGCTTCAGATCTTCTGGCAGAATATCTGGGACCTCGTTAAGATCAGATTTGATTCTGTTAACGAGGCTGAGCGTTCGTTTCCATCTGATCTGGATTTGAATAATTATTTTCAGGCTTCTCGTTCAGAATCCACTCCCAGCATCTTTTAACCAAATGGTCTCAGGTTAATGTTTCTGTTTTCCTGTCACCACCAGGAGGAGGAGGAGGAAGAGGAGGGGGTCAAAGGTTATAAAGGATTTCTTTGTGTTTCAGTCTTCATCGGACCGGTCCTTCTCCTGCAGGTAGGTTCAGATCAGCAGCATCTCTCAGACCTCAGGGAAACAATCCTTCTTAAATATGACTTTATTTTCACTATTTATTCCTAATTCATAAAATATTTGTGTAAACTATGTAGATGTTAGAAGATGTTTTAGTCACTGCAGCATTGAGATGTTTTCCTAAATTAAATATTCAAACTAAACTGACAAGACTTTATTGCAAGTATGTTTTGGTAATAAATTAAAACTTAAATATAACTTTTGTAAATATCTGTCAGATTTACTGATGTCAAACCTCATACTTGTACTATGGAATAAACGAAGTACACTTTTAGGAAATACATTCATGGAAGTTTACATCAAATATTTGGTCAAATGTATTTTTGATGTATGTTTAAAAAGTATTTTTAAAATAATTATTTCCAGAAACGTACAAAAAGCATCTTTTACAAATGTGCAGTTTAAAATTTTATAGGCTTTAGATAAACTAAATGACATGTGGGTGCATTTTAAGTTCAAATGTTATTGTATGTGTTTAAAAACAATTAACATTTACTGAAGTTTGTCAAATATAAAGTAGCAGAGTTTTTCAGAAGTTTG